GGGAGGCTCCGCGCGGGAGCCATGTAACCCTGCGGCGGGCTCCGGGCTGCTCCGTCCTTCTCCAGCAATTGGGCTAGCGCGGCAGCGGGGCCACGATGAAGAAGCAGTTCAATCGCATGCGCCAGCTGGCCAACCAGACGGTGGGCAGGTAGGTCACCCGCTGGCAGCCGGGGGCCGGTGCGCGCCTGCGAGGCTGCGTCCGCCGGGGCGCGCAGGTGATGGAGCCCTCCCGGCCTCCTGTCCTCTTTCCTTCCTCCCCTCCTCCCCACCTTCTCTTCCCCTGCGCCGGCTCCCTCCCGGCGCCGTCGTAGGCGCGACCCCTCCTCTCTGAACTTCCAAGACCCCGAGCCTTTCTCCCTCGCTGCCTGCTGCTCTGGGGCCCCGGTTGCCAAGCGCAAAGTGTGACGCATCCTTTACCTGCGTCCCCAGCTGCCCCTTCACCTCGTCCTCCCTGCCTTTCCCCGGGACTCCCTTTTCCCTCTGGCCGCGTATCTTCCTGGAAACAGGTGTTCATGCTGATTGTGCTGGAGGCAGCCTTTCCGCAGTCAGTCTCCGGAGATCCTTTCCCTACCCACCCTTGCACCGAGTTCTGGGCTGCTCCAGGGTCCAGGGGAAGTGTTTGTTGGGCCTGGTCGGCCAGCCCCTCCCGCCGTGTTTGTTTTCAGGGACTATGACTGTACGAATTTCTGGATCACTTTCCTGGCCGGGTTTCTTAAGGCGTTTGGTGGTAGGGGGAGCATAGGGGGCGGGAGGGAAGGGAAGGTGCTGGCGGAATGGCGTTGCTGTCGGCGTGGTCCTAAGACTGATTTCAGTGGAGGGAGGGAGGCTGCAAAAAGGAGGTCCAATTCCTCTGAAAGATGAGATAAGCAGAGGATCGCAGTCAGGTAGGGGAGGGGGATAGAGGCCCCACAATCTAGATGAGCGAGGCCCCGCGAGGCTGAGAGACCCAGCATGTTGTCATCACAGTGAAAATGGGCTACATCTGGGCTAGTGTCTCCAGGGGCGGCTCTGCGGGGTGCCAACATCTATTAAGGTTACATAAGGACCCTGGTGGATCGCTCCTAAAGCTAGACATTCTCTGAACACAGGATTGTTAGGTAGCGGGGCTTTTTCGTGGAACGCCCTGCTCCTGGGGGAGGATTTCCGTTGTTGCCCTGGCAAAGGAATTCAGGTGTGCTGTTCTAAAGCAATTAGAAAGCAAAGAACCCAGCCTTGGGTGCAATTCAAGTTCCCGTCAACATATCAAGGGCTCTCCACTAGGTTTAACTAGAAACCAAATACCTTTCTTGGGTGGGAAGTGGAGCCTGAAATGGCACCTGGTAGGGTGGGGGTGGGGTTGTCCCTGGGGAATAGGGGACATCTAAACTTTCATCTAAGCATACTGCCCTAGTTACAGTGGGCATTTGAGGGCAGGGGATGCGGTGCTTCCAGGGACTCCAGATGGTTTCCAAGTAACAATGTCTAAAATTGACTTGGATTCATTTTTCCTTCCCAAACACATGTGCTTTAACATGAGGGGGAATTTATGAATAGCAGAGTCAGATTAGCCCAGATTTCTGGCATGGTATTGCCACAAATATAGCCTCACATGGACTGCCTTTTGGTATGTTGGATGCTGAGATGGTGTTTTCCTGGTACTTCTTTAGTGGATAACAGTCAAGCTGATGGGTCTTTAATGTCTTATTGCTTCATCCTGCAGGTGGGCATCAACTATTACACCAGACCCACCAAGTGACCAGGAGTCTCCTGACACTAGATTTGACTTTCTGGTTTCTCTTGGTGTTGGGAATTCAGTTCAGTGCTAGAATCTAATTGTTTGGATACTGTTTATGCCTCCTCCCTGAAATGCAACCCTTCTGAATTTTTTTTAAGAACATTTTTAAACGGGAAGATTTTTGAACTGTGGCATCATACCTTATTTTTCATCCTCATCCACGGAAGGAATGAAGAAGAGTGAGGGGAGGTTGAGTTTCAGAAAATGTGGTCTTACTGAGAACATGTTCTTGGAAGTTTAAGCCACTAGTCACCAAGAGATCTTTTCCACTTGTTTATTGGGTCTCTGGTAGATGTTGGTGCATAGATGGATTTTGCCTCTTTTACAGATGCTATTCATTATGTCATGCATCAGGTCAAGTGAGGGCCAGCCTGTGTCTCTTTTGATGAAATCCAGAGTGAACCTTTTAGAGCAAAAATTACTTCATGTTACCTTGCTGCTGAAAAGCTCCCAGTGACACCTTATTGCACTTAGCGTCTCAAATCTTGCCAATGGCCTATAGGATCATCCCTGAATTGGCCTGTCTTGTCTTTCCTTTTGCTTCAGGTTGCCTTTATTGCCCCAAACACATCAAGCTCATTTCCATCTCACGGCTTTTGTTCTTACTTTTTTCTCATTTCCTCCACTTGGCTGAGGATGTGCTCCTCCCAGTACCTCTCCAGGTCTTAGCTCTAAGGCTTTGAGAGGCCCTCTCTCCACCATTTGCTTCCAGCCCATCATCCTTTTCATTTTTGCATAGTACTCATTACTGTTTGAAATGCTTTCATTTTTTATTTTCTTGTCTGTCTGCCTGCAATAGAATATATTGATTGCTGTTGTATGCCCAGTGTATCTAGCACAATGTGTTGTAGACAGTTGATGCTCAATCTGTGTTTATAGCCAAGATTGAACCAATTTACTCTAGGGTTTATGAAGGTGAATGAAAGGAACAACATCTCCTTTATCTTACTAAGAAAGTCTTGAGTCCTGATCCTATGTGTATTGGAGTAAAAGGGCCAGCATTTGCTTTGTAATTTCTTAAATCAGTGGAAGCACCTGGGATTGGAAGTTTGGGCTTTACGTATATGATTATAAAGCTCTTGTTTGATTCTTAACCTGTATGTGTTTTTGAAGTGGTGACTTCCCTCTCTCAGAGGGATGACTAAGAGATGGACTTGAGGGCTGCTCTTCTTCATGGCTCGCCTTTCCTAAGTTGCAGGTTCTGGACTTCTGAAAACTTCTAGGGCATCGCTCAAGTCATTTTAACAATGTAGAAACCGCCCTACTTAAACATACTCTGTAGGGTTACTAGTACTTTCTAAAGTAAGGTGTATTGAGGGCATCAGGTACTATGAAAAGAGTTGATACAACCCATTGTACTTAACTGAGGAAAGTTTTGTCACCTCCTTGGTCTACTGCTCCAGTCTTTGCACAAGTTCCTTCTGCTTTGAACTTTCCTCTGTGCCTGCACTTCAATTCATCCTTTGGGAAGGACTGCTGGCCTAATGTGCCGAATGGTTAGGAGCAAAGGCATTCCAGTGGGACATATTGGGTTTGTTACTTGCTTACTATGGAATCTTGAGCTTAACTCTCTGCATATTTGTTTCCTTCTCTACAAAATGGGAGTAATAAAGATTATTCTATGGGAATGTGATAACTGTGGCAATGATGATGTGAGATTACCTCTAAAAAGTGCCTAAAACAGTGCTCAGCACAAGGAAATGCTTAATATATAGTAGTTATTAATATCTATGGGCAAATGTTGGAACTCTTATTGGATTATATGCACTCTGGCATGTATACAGTCATTTATTCATTCATTAACTATTTATTAGATGCCTACTATGTATAGGCATCTCTGGCTCAGGGAATATAGTACAGAGCAAACAAAATCCCTGCTCTTTTATTTTATTTTATTTTTGTTATTTAGTTTTTATTTCTCTGCAATCCAACTAGATGTGGAAGGGAATAAAGAAAATATGGAACCCACAGAATTGTAGCGAGAGCACAAAGATTATAGGGATACTGCGAGCAAATGGGATGGAGGGGATGCTCTCCTGAGCTACAGAAGGAATGATCTGGTAGTTTAAGATAAAACAAGTCAAATTTATTAGAGTTGTCCACAGTCAGCAATGGTGATCTTCTTGCTGGTCTTGCCATTCTTGGACCCAAAGCCTTCCATGGTTTGCACAACATTCATGCCCTCTTTCACCTTGCCAAAAACCACATGCTTGCCATCCAACCATTCAGTCTGAGTCGTGCAGATGAAAAACTGGGAACCGTTTGTGTTGGGTCCAGCATTTGCCATGGGCAAGATGCCGGGACCTGAATGCTTCAAGATGACGTTCTCATCATCAAATTTCTCCCCATAGATGGACTTGCTGCCAGTGCCATTATGGCTTGTAAAGTCACCACCCTGGCATATAAAAACCCTGGAATAATTCTGTGAAAGCAGGAACCCTTATAACCAAATCCTTTCTCTCCAGTGCTCAGAGCATGAAAGTTTTCTGCTGTCTTTGGAACTTTGTCTGCAAACAGCTCGAAGGAGACGTGACCCAAGGGCTCGCCGTTGACAGTGATACACGGTGGGGTTGACCATGGCTGATGGGAAAAGACTCAAGGCGGGGTCTGCAAAGCCAATCCCTGCTCTTTTAATACCTGCATTCTATAATGGTTAATTGTATTATAATTTTTATCTTTTGTCATTTAATTTCCTCACTAGACTTTAACTCCTTGGAGGCAGGGACAACTGCCCTAATACTGCCCTATATAGTACGTTCTTAGGAATTTTTTGGCAGTGGAATGAATAAATGAATAAAAGATCTGTGTGCTATAGATAGGGGAATCTTATGAAGTAGTTCAAAGATGAGCAAAGCTCCTGATGCTGTGTTTCTTTAATGTGGTGATGGGAATGGGTGTACAGAGGAGTGAGGAACAGCTGCACTGCTGGGCTTTGGAAGGACAGAGCAATATTTAAGGGAGAATTTAGTTCATAGCTGATTGATAGCACCATTTTTTACCTTCAAAGAAGTTTTGCAGTTGCTGGGGTGAGAAGCGTCCTGAAAGGCATAGACAATTTGTCTAGGAAGTGACGTTTGTTTTGTGTAAACAAAGCCCTGGGCTGAAATTTAGCACCCAAGAGATCCACTGAGAGAAATAAAAAAATGGAAGAAGTAAAATTAGTCCTTTGATCTGGTAAGGACTTTTTTTCCCCAGGCATCACTCTGGAGGTCTCAGTGGTCCCCACCTCAGAAGGCTGTCATAAAGTTGAAGGAATACTTGATAAATGGTTGAGGGGGTTCATTGTCAGTTTCCTCTTCTGCTTGTTCATTCCCTTGGCTTCCTAAAGAGCTTCTTAGAAATGGATTCCATCAGCTACTGCCCAATGATGATCT